AAAATCGTAACTTAATTTTAGGTTACGTTCAAAATTGTAACTTAATTTTAGGTTAAATTTAAAATCGTAACTTAATTTTAGGTTAGGTTCAAAATTGTAACTTAATTTCAGGTTAGGTTCAAAATTATAACTTAATTTTAGGTTAAATTTAAAATCGTAACTTAATTTCAGGTTAGGTTCAAAATTGTAACTTAATTTTAGGTTAAATTTAAAATCGTAACTTAATTTTAGATTAGATTTAAAGTCGTAACTTAATATCAGGTTTAAAATCGTAATTTAATTTCAGGTTAGGTTCAAAATCGTAACTTAATTTTAGGTTAAGTTTAAAATCGTAACTTAATTTCAGGTTAGGTTCAAAATCACAACATTACTATTATTACCGAGCGACTGAAATTGTACTTCTGATCTATCGATAACGCGTTATAACGATGTTCGAACTTCTTCTTTTGCTGTTCTCTATTCGTTATCAGAATACTACAGTGTCGATTTCATCCTGGCGTAGAAGGATGGATGCTTTCGCCCGTGGGCAAGCAATGTCGACAGCTTTTAAGACTGAATGAAAAGCAACGACAGCAGGGAGAGTGTAAGTTTGCACATATGTATGTCCATCTTCTACACTCATGGTCCTTTACATTCATAGAATATCTCACCACGAGTCCGGCTTTCCCTAAGCCCTGTACACTAATTTTTCTCCGTGATGTATGTGGGGAACCAGGTGAACATTCTCCTGTTGTGCGAACACTGTAGGTGATCTATTAGTATCAGCAGGGAAGATTATCGTAGGAAACGTTATTTTATTACATTATGTAATATTTTTATCATTAGAAATATTACATTAGTAGTACTAGTGTATTACTAATTATAACTATTATATATATATATATATAAAACAGTAATAGTATATTGCTAATTATAATTATAAATATATAACTAAACATTACTAATGTAATATTCCTATTAACGTAGTATTTCTAATATTATTTCTATAGAAAAGAACAGGTTTCACACTCGAAATTAACTATGGATTTTAAATGGATACTGACACGTTAATAACAAAATAGTGCCAACAACAAGCAGTGTGCAATAAATTACAATTTGTATATTTCAGAATTATGTTTGCACAGTGACTGTAAGATATTTACAGAACATTGATTTCTAACATCCTTTTTCTTCTCTTTTTTAAACAATAAATTTAAGTATATTGCATATAGGTTATCTTGATGTAAACGAGACTTAATGAATACTCGTATATAAAATATGGCTGGGACAGAATAATTTGATGAATTCCTTGGTGAATTCAAACGATTGTCACGTAAAGTTCAACTTATTTTCACAAAAGCCAGTGAAATTCTATAGAAAATCCTCAACAAACGAAACTTTTTTTTTTATTTCAAAAACTACCATTATATATGTGCATGTAATGTAACATAAAACGAGGTAAAATTGACATAAAGTACTTGTTTAACACTATTAGTATTTATATATATTTTTACATTGATATTTATATATATATATATATATATATATACATTAAAGTATGTCGATTCATCCGTAACAGTTATAGACTGCTGTGCAAGATAGTTTTACATAAATATTCATGCAATGATTATGACAATCTGTGAGAGTGATGGATTAACAAAATCCAAATGGTTCGAGCCAAAATATTTCTTGCAGGGAATTTAATTTTTGAAAAAAAAAAAAACTTCTTGGGGATGAAATAATGATGATGGTAGAAAACAATGAAGCGTATTGCTCATAAGGAAATATCAAATTGCTATATCATGAAGAAGGAAACGGAAAAGATAATTGAAATTACCTGATATACTTGCCACGGAGACGGCAATCGTTACTGTTTGACGTGGCACGGCGAAGAAATCGAGCGCTCCCATTTTGTTTGAAGTGGCTAGACAAATAGTCGCGATAACTTTCGCTCGGTGCAGCGAGATGTTAAGAAAGTTCCCCGCTCGGGGATTGCATTGTCGTGAAATCGATCTCGAGAGAGGCATAGTTCCAGCGAGATGGTACAACAGGAGTAATATCGCTATCCGTGAGTAACCAATACTACGCGACGTGTAATTCGAGAAGTAGTGTCCTCGAGTCGCGTGATCCTCAGCGAAGGAAGACGTCTTTTTCAAAACTGTTTGCATTTGGGGTCGAGAATCCTCGAGATATAGAGTGTTTTATAACAAAAAATCATATAAGTATATGTCCTATCTGTCTTCGTTAATGAGATATAATGAATTTTATAAACAGAGCAAACTCTAGTAAGCTAGTTACACCAGGGACGGTAATTTTCATAATAATCATAATTGGGATGAAGGAAACCCACATGTTATTGTGCATTCAAGACATCAACACCAGTTTAGTTGAAACGTATGGGCAGGAATGATTGATAAATTTTTAATTGGATCTTTTTCTCTCGATGGGAAACTAACAGGCACAAAGTACGTTGATATTTTGAGCACGCGTTTACACGAAATATCAGAGGAAGTTCCAGTCGATATTAGACTTCGTACGCGGTTCATGCATGATGGAGCTCCGCCGCGTTTTAGCCGAGTGGCTGGGCAATTTTTAAATCAACGCTTTGCAAATAAATGGATTGGTCGTGGCGGTCCTATTGCATGGCCTGCTCGTTCTCCGGATTTGAATCCATTAGATTTTCACTTGTNTTTTTTTTTTGAGACTGTCAAGTTCGTGACTCGAAAAATAATTATGTTCTCATAGAACGTAAAGTATATCCGGATCCTGAACAGCCGTATTCTAATATTCGAACTTCCTTTGTGCAAACCGAACGTCTGCTTGTGACGTTTAATATCTTTTTTCTGTCGTGTCCACGCGCGGTTTGTTGTCAAATCACATTTATATCTCTGGAAATTGTGAACCAGGCAGCACACCAGACCCCGATTTCGATAAAATTTGGCATGAAATGTAGGTTTCAAAAAAGATATTCGACCCGTATTTTTTGTCCATCGGCGATGATCGATGTTGAAGCGATGAAAACTATCCTCAAAGTTGGGGGTGAGAAACATATTTTGTTAAATATCTCGGAAATTATTGTTCTTATGTCTAACCGATGAAAATTAGTGTTTCGCATTGTATAGTATACCATTTTGCAAAAAATCTTTTATTTAAACAATATATCAAAAAAATTATTCTCAACATATTTTCGACAAGTTTCTCCAAATAAATGTTAACGAATTTTCTTGAATATTGTATTGTTTATGAATACTGTATGTTCAAATTACGGATAAAATGGGATCTTGATTTTATTCATTACAAAAAAATTCATTATTTTCTGGACGCGCAAGGCAGAATGTTGTTCTCTGTTAAATATTTAAATTTATCTGTAACATAAAATGACATTAATGTGTATTATTTCATTGCATCATTTCATTAAAAAATTATACACAATTACAATTGATAGCAATTTTGGAATTGTCCTCTATTTAAAAATGTTACATGTTAATATATTTTAGTTCTGACGATTATGTTCTGATTTTATTTAAATAGACATGCAATCTTCGCAGTAGTGGTACTCGAAGACAGCACAAATGTTTTTTCATACCACGAACATTAGTTAACATTGTTCCGCGTTTCCCTTGAGGGTGAAACAATGTGTTCTCCAGCAAAATGTGCCCCAGTAGGAACATTTGTCCATCAGGGGTTGAATATATCGCGCGTCCGTGTTTCGGTCAATGGTAATTAGGAAATCCACCACCGCACAATGTTCGTTGTCATTCACGTTCCTCTGTCTGAAGAATACGTAATTACTCGTATCCGTTGCCACGATTATTTGTCGAATTTTTCGAGGCACGAAACAAGTGAAATAAAATTTCGAGAACAGGCCAAAGTTTCCTGTGGTTTTCCGCTCGATCTTTCGGGATCACGAATATCGGAGCCTGTAAATTTTCGTCTCTTCGAGAGAGAAGAAACCGCGACAGTCGATTCCCCCGCGTCGTCTGATCCCTGTTCGGGGTTATTTCAACCTTCGATAGATCTCGCCGAGTGTATTTCGTCCTGGCGAATAGAAACGCTTCATGTATTATTGAGGAAGTATCGGCATTTTATATTCGACCGCCTTTTTTTTTTTTTGAACTGCGAGCGGGTCTTAACGTAAAATATTGTAGCGCGTTTCCAAACTAATCCGAACCGTCCTTGTTTCGATTATATCAAATTGAATCAACAAACTTTCCAATTCCTCGGTTTTATCCTTTTTTCGACTCTTAGCAATAAGTGTGCACCGGCGTTTTGTGTTTATATCAAGTATTAAAATTATTATCTAATGACGAGTGGTGTGGTGAAAAGTTCGCCATTAAAATGAGAGTTTAGGTAAAATAGAAAGAAACACATTCGTAATTTCAACGCAATTGTAATTACACATGTATAATTTTTTTATTATGAAATCGCACAATGAAATCATACAATTTTATAAGAAATTTAAATATTTGAATATTAAACACACTTCAGACTATTTTGGGACAAAGAACATAATTGTTATATCATGTGCAATTTTTCTTGATGAAATTTGATACAAAATGAAGTAATACGATTTTACGAACAAACAGAATATTCAAATATTTAAACGAATAAATTATAAATTTACAACTTTGCAACTGAAGTGCGCACAGAGAGGCAATATCGTTTAATAAATTTTGTTATTTTTACAATTTCAATTTTTATCCTGCTCTCGTCGAAGTCTTATCGTAAACGTTGAATATTTAAATCTGTTTGTTGTAAAAATCGTATTATTTTCATCAGAAATTACACATGATAACAATTCCGTTCGTTGTCCTAAAATATTCTAAAGTGTGTTTAACATTCAAATATTTATTATATAGTTACATTTAAAGTTGTTTATTATATATAAAATTGTATTATTTCTTATCGTCCACCAGTTGAAAAACAACCAGGCACGAGCGAGCTCCTCCAAATGAAATAAAACACTTAAGGGATTAATAGAGAATTTATTAATGATTTAAATCTTCCTTATTTATGCGCAGGTACTCTGTAGGCAAAAGCCGTTGGGACCGAAGCAGCATTGTTGCGCGACCAGCACAGGTGGTCTTGATGTCTGCAGCGTGGGAGGAGTCGACTTGTCTGGTACGTGGAAATTTCAGTCCAACAGAGGGAATAATTATTTAGCAATGAGAATGGATCTCTGCAGAATATTCCATCGACACATGTAACAGTTGAACATGTATTTCTTCCTTTCTTCTTTTTTTCTTTTATTTTTTTTTCTTTTTTTTTTGTGGTTTCTTCGTCGAAAGATCCGATCCACATATAGCGTCGCGCCGATGAGGATTTCAAGCTCAAAGCTCTAGCTTCGGCAATGATACGTATACGCGAGAGTTATCTGCAGTTCGAAGTGGAGAACTTCAGTTCAGAGTTCCGAAGTTTCGCATCTGTGACTTGCAGAGGAAATACTTTTGGTCAACTCGCCCCGATGAATCATTTCGTGCGCGCTTCAGGGTTCGTTTACATCGTGAAGGTCGTGAACGCAGTTAATAGCGGATGAATACGCTGAAAGACGAGATCGATTGGACGTTGAAGTTTTCAGATTTCAGTGGTGGAGGGAAGATAGCAGCTCGTACGATATCAATATTTGCAAAAATTATCATAGTCAGTCATCGTTGAATGACAAGTCAAAATTTATATTCAATATATAAAACAATCACTGTTCAGATACCAACAGGTTCTATTAATTTGGAACAGTATATTTATTATTTATAAAAATTGAAACAATCAATCGCCATTACGTGCTTGAATAATGGAGCCATAAATTAAAATTTATATTCAATATATGAAACAATTACTGCTCAAATACCAGCATATCGCTGTTAACATGAAACAATATATTCATTGTCTATAAAAATTAAAACAATCAATCGCCAGTACGGGCTTAAATAATGGATCTACAAATTAAAATTTATATTCAATATACGAAACAATTACTGCTCAAATATCAACAGATCGCTATTAACTTGAAACAGTATATTCAGTACCTACAAAAATTAAAACAATTAAACACCATTACGTGCTTAAATAATAGGTATATAAATTAAAATTTATATTCAATATAAAACCTAACCTAACCTAAAAATTACTATCAAATATCAACAGATCGCTAACTAACTTAACTTGAAACAGTATATTCAATACCTACAAAAATTAAAACAATCAATCGCCATTACGTGCTTAAATAATAGGTATATAA